CGTGGGGAGGGCAGTGACCCCCCCCTGCAGGGCTGGTGGCTTGGGCTGCCTGTGTCAGGAGGGGAGGGCCGGTGCCTGGTGTGGTGAGGACAGGCCACAGCTCCGGAGCTGCTCTGGTGTTACCAGACTGGCCAAGTCCAAAGTCCCTGAGGCCACCAGCCCTGACTGTCCTGTTGGTCCCACTTTTGAAGCTGCTCCCCAGGACCCCCTGGCCGCTGTGAGCTGGGGTCCCTCCGCTCCTGGCCCATTCGTGGCTGCATCCACAGGGGCTCTCGTGGTCTCCCAGAGCCAGCTCGGGGGTCAGATGGTCGTGGGGGCTATGGTCACTGTGGGAAAAGAGGTTCTGGGCGTCCGTGGAGGGAGGGGCACAGCATGGAGTCTCCAGGACAGTGGCCGCCTTGGTGTGCTGAATGGGCCCTGCCTTGAAGACCACATCTATTCTTGGGCCGTCATGAAATAGACAGTAGTTTGCAATAGCTTGAGAAGTGCCTGCAGAAGAGGATGAGAAGGCACCTCTAGCAAAGGGGACTTGGGGGCCTCACCAGCCTGCAGCCAGGGAAGGCTTCTCGGAGGAAGGGGCAGCTGCGGTCCTGAAGGTGAGCGGTGGGGGGAAGCAGAGGCTGGACGCCTAGCAAAAGCAGCTGATCTTGGAGGAGAGAGGGAGCTCGGGGCTGGGACGGCCCTTGAGGAACAAACGGTGGGCGGGGCATGGAGGGGCACAGCTGAGCTGCTCACAGCCAGAGATCACTGCCTCCTGGGGGTGCTAATGAGCACTCAAGGCTGGGCTGGGGTGGTGGGACGCACTGCGGCCTAGAAGTGTCATCCCCTTAGGGAGGCCCCCAAGCCAGGAAGGTGGGTAAGGAAGGCCGGAGCTCGGTCATGGTGATGGGTGTGGCCAGGAGAGGCGGGGGCTGGGACCGCCCTGTGGAGCAGCTCTCGTCATGGGAGGAGGCCCCCAGGTTCAGGGGCTGGCACTTCTTGCTCCAGGTTCAGCTGTCGTGGGAGGTCCGGCCTGGGGCTTGGCATGTCTTGAGCCAGGAAAAACACTGGTGGCTGCTGCCTTTAAAACATAAATAGGTTTGTGTCTTTAATTCTGTATGTGCATTTACACTCCTCTTTATTAGTGGATAAATATTAGAAAATCATCTCTCGGACAGAGTGGCTGAGGGTGGGCCCCTCCAGGGGCCCCGGCTTGGTCTGCAGGGTGAGGCTGTCCTTCCAGGGCTCGTACACCAGCGTGGAGGTCTCGGCCCTCTTGATGGTGAACTTGTAGGAACGGTTGGGCAGCAGGTTTCGGACGTCGAAGGTGCAGGCAGCCACGGGGATGACGCCACACTGGGCGCACTCCTGCTGCGTCCTCGGGTCCAGCAGCCTGAAGCGCAGCTCATACTGCTCCGAGGCGGCCGGCTGGATGGTGACGAACCAACGCAGCCGGGCCCAGTCCTGGTGGGCCGCCGACTCCTTTCTGTCAAACATGACGGGCATCTTGGTGCTCAGCATGAGCCAGATGTGCGGGATCTTGGCGGCACTGACATCAGACACCAGGCGGTGTTTGACGTGCAGCCGTCCGGGCACCATCATGGTCAGGAAGCTGTCCATGACGGCCGACACGTCCGCCAGCCGCCGCTCCACCAGCGCCCAGTCGGCCAGGAAGGGCCGTGGGTCCGGCGACTGGAGCAGGGCGTCCAGCTCAGCACGGCCGTGGTCCAGCTGCTCCAGCAGGTCCCCGAGCAGCAGGAGCTGGATCTTGGTCTGAGCTGTGCCCACCTTCTTCATGCGCTGGAACTTCCAGGGGTCGATGAGCTGGAACACGGCGCTGGGCAGCACCAACGGGTTCTGGTCGCCCAGGGCTAGGTGCTTGGGCAGGACCTCGATGTAGTAGGAGCACTTACGCAGCAGCTGCATGCGGGCGTGGTGGCGCTTGAGCAGGTGCGGGCTCAGGTCCGAAGTCAGGAACTCACGCAGGGCATTGCGGCGCTCGGTGTAGGTCCTCCACGCCTCTGGCTCCAGCAGCTGCTGGTCATCTGCCTCCTCCTGGTCCAGGAAGGACTGGGGATTGCCCAGCTTCATCTTGTCTAAGCCCAGGCCTGCCATGTGGGAGCTCATTATCTGGGAGCTGGGGGGAGGGCTGGGTGTCAACTGCCAGGCAGGCTGGCCTCCCCTGGGCCGTGGCACGCTCGGGGGATGGATTCAGCCCACTGCCCCCATGCTGGGCCTCTGTCCTTCCTCGGGGGCACAACTCGCTGGGAAGAGGCTGCCTGGAGGGCTGGATGGGCAGGCTACAGATCTGGACACAGTTTATGCTGAGGAGCATAAACCTCTACTGACAACTGGTGGCCTGCGGGACAGGACAGGGAAGAGCTAGGACTGCGGACTTCTGGCCAGAACAGCCAGGGCAGAAACCCCAGCCCTGACCTGTGGCCTGGCAAGGGCCCCAGTTCCTAGCCCTGGTACTGAAAGGGGGTGCTGGCATCCTCAGGGCCGTGGAGAGGGGACAGCGTGGTCCTAAGCAGCCCAGAACCCCCCTTAGGGACACTGGTGGGCCATCTTCCCGCTCCGGTTCTCCGTGGGGACTCTCTACGCCTCACCGCAGTCGTAGAGCAGAGACGGGCCTCACCAAAGGCTATGCCAGCTGGCCAGTCAGCGTGGGAGGAGGGCGGCCAGGCCTGGACCCGGAGGAGCAGCCCTCCTCCTACGCTGTGGGCCCTCCCTGTGGACCCGGGACCCTGTCCCTGGTGAGCTCACGGACCCCACAAGCAACACTCCGTTTCCCAGACGGAGCCTGAGGCTAAGACGCTTGGTTCTTGCCCTCATCCAGGGTTTCAGCCCAGTGCTGAGCCGAGTCTGACCCTCTGTCTGTGGGTGCACCGGCTGAGTGCAGCTGTGGCCCCAGCCTCTGCCGCAGCTCCCTTGAGAGCAAGCCGCACCCTGGCTGCTGCCCCGGCTCCCAGCAACCCTGGAGATCTCAGGTTGTCACAGCCACCAGGGCCTGGGATGAACCGCAAATGAGAGCTAAGCAGTTGTGTGAGTTCCCTAAGGCCACACAGGTAGGTGCAGCCATGTTTGCCTCACGCCCAAACGGACGACCCTTGACCTTCCTGGGGCAGCGGGGTGAGAACAGGACCCTCGGACAGCAGGGAGTGTGTCTAGGGCGAGGTGCCAGCTGAGAGCAGGACCCCGGGACCCCAGGCCTAAGCCCTGCTCTGGCTGGAGGCTGGGGCGGGTTTCACCACTGGAGGGAAATCGTGCCTCTGTGCGCCAGTGAGGGATGTCTTCCAGTCTCCAGCAGCTGCCCAGGTGGAAAACCCAGAGGGGCTGGTCGTGAACCTTGGAAAGCGGTTCCGAACCCCTGGCTGCTTCCTTCACACCCCTGGTCCCAGGCCCGCTTCCCTGAGACCACCAGGTGCCCGCACCCTACCTCCTCCACCACACTCCCCTAGGCTTCCCTGGCCCGGGCCCACCTCCCCGGCCGCTCTGCCTGCCCCTTACCTTCCTGAGACCCCCAGCCCTCCTTTCCCAGCCCCCGCCGCCGCCCCAGACCCGCGCCCACTTGCCCTGCCTCCGAAGCGGAGCCGCGCGCGGACTTCCCAGAGCCCAGCCTCCCTCCGCGCTCCGCGGGTTGCCCTGGGGACCAGGGGCTTTTGTGACGCGCTGCCCAGGGCCGGGGGTGGGGGGGTGGGGACCCAGGACCCTGAGCCGAGGAATCTTCCATCCGCTTCGCTTCCTGGGGAGCCCCAGACTTCTGGGGGCCCGCGTCCCCGGCTTGGGGGCCACCTCGGGTGGCTGGTCCAAGAGCCGGGCTCCAAGTGGGGTTCCCGTCCCCACGCACCCCCGGCTTTCGGCGGGGCGCAAGAGCCTCAGGTGACTGGGAGGGGGCTCCTGCTCAACCCCCCACTCCTAGTGCACTCCTCGGAATCCCTCGGAGGAATCTGGGAGCGAGGCAGGGCCCCGTGACCCGGCGCACGGACCACCCAGTGCAGAGGAGGGGGTGGCTCCGCCCAGCAAGGCCCCGCCCACCACAGGCTCCTCCCACCACGGGCTCCCCCCACCTCAGACTCCTCCCACCTCAGGCTCCCCCCAATCCCGCAACCGCCCCTCCCACCACAGGCTCCTCCCAGCGCAGGCTCCTCCCACCACGGGCTCACCCCACACGGCCCCTCCCACCACAGGCTCCTCCCACCACG